TTGGCACGTCCACTTTGATCAGCCGCCATTTGCTGGGCGCGGCGTTCCTGGTATCCAGGCCCCGGTTTCGCCGGTTTGTAGGCAATTTCCTGCCGTCCATGAGAAATCTGCTTTGCTTCTTGCAGCTCCAGATATGCTGCATAGTCTTCATCCCCCATCAAGGAACGAAGCTGTGCAGCTTTCTCTGCATCCGCTTTTGCTTTCTGCAAAGCAGCTTCCTGCCTCTGCAGGATCTCATAGGTCTCCCGTCTTTCCCGGGGAATTGGACTGGCAGGTTCACCTGCTGAACCGAGATACACAATCTCATCGTTACCAGCAGAATCACCAACTTCTGCACGGTTACGCGTTTGTGTATTCTTCACAACAGGTCGCAGCAAAGACAGTTCAACAGGATGATTACCTGAAACTGGCCTTTGCGGGCTTTTGGATTCCTCCTTTGCCTTTCTAGGCTGTGTTCTCGCCTCTGCAGGCGGGTCTTTTGCCTTATCAGGCTGTTCTTTCGCCTTTGCTTCTCCAAGCGGGATCTCCCTTTCCGGCATCCTTTGCACCTTAGGACCGCTGGTTTCCACAACCGATGGCGATGCCGGCTCCGGTTGGATAGGGGCAAAGTGGGCAGGGTGGTTTACACCACTGTCACTGCCGCTACTGTCCTGCTGGTCTGCCCAGCGGGTGGAGGTCCCCTCCTTGGCAATACGGGCAAAGGCCTTAGCCTGCTCGGCCGGATCCAGCTCATCGACCTTGGGCTGTACCTCCAGGCGTTGCGCCTTTTGGCTGCCTCCTGCGGAGAAAAACTGCTTGATCTCAGCCTTGCGCTGGCGTTTGTGAGCTCGCTTACGCTCATACTTTTCAGGATTCAATTGACGATCCCGCTCACGTCGCAGCGCTTTCAATTCTCTCCGCTGTTTGGCCTTTCTGGCCTTTTGCTCGTCTAATTTCTTTGCCCGAGCAAAACGATCTCGGTTACGAATCCGTCGTCTCTCTTTCTCCATCCTATGCACTTGTGCACGGGTTGACATATCACCCGGCAAAGGAGAAGCACATGATGAGAACGACAATTCCGAGATCTCCTCCCACCGCTCGTGGGGATCATTAGGGTCCGGTCTCTCTGGACTCCCCTCGCTCACGTCCCATGGTTCCGGGATATGCCTGAGCGCAAAGGCCATCTTTTCTGGCCAATTTGGGTCCTCTTTGGCAATTTGATCTGCCATTCCAGGACCATACCACCTTTGTATTCTAACCAGTCTGGCGGTGGTTAACCTTTCCCCAAACTGGTCGGCGGCCATCCGCCATCCCTCGTCAAGCTCATCGACGAGATCACTGTGGAACTTTGTCCACATTGCATGGCACGGTGGTTGCCGGCTATATGGATCTCGAGTGTCTGGAACGAACTCCAGCACCCTTGAGCTTTCACCCGGCCCCCATTCTGGTAGCGCAGGCCTCCGAGGGCTCCAATTATGGCCTCCCGGCCTTGGCGGACTTTTTCCGCAAACAACTTGAGCGCTTTCTGTGAGCGACTCATCTCCAGTCCCGTCCGATCCACTAGGTGTTCTCACATGCACCTGGGATTTGAGCCGTAGCTCCGGGATCTTGACCTTCCGGCCTTGCATTCTCTCAACTCGCCCTAAGGCTTTGGCCTCCCGGCCTTTGTAGGGAGATTTCTCACTTTCCATCGGCCGCTCACCTGGCGATGGACTCTTCCGCTTGGGGCGCTGCTTGCCAACAACCTTCCAATCTTCCTCTGGAATGGTTGGCATGGGCAGCTCCGACGGACTGGGGGCCCTCACAGCTGGCACCACTTGTTGGGCGCTTCTCTCTTCTGCCTCCTGGGCCCGCTGCTTTTGCTTCAGGAGGCGGTCACTCAACGCCTTGACCTGGTCTTCGGCGGAGGTTTTGGCTTCTTGTGCCTCGCGGCTCTGCTGCTTCGCCTTCTTCATGGCCGGCTCTTTCTCTCGAGCTTCTTTCTTGGCCTTGTTGACGGCGATCTCCAGCGAGGCGATCCTCTCGGCGGTCTCTTCATCCCGCTTCGCTCTCGCCTTCTCGGCCGCGGTATCCGCCATCTTCTGCAGGAGCTCTTTGATACCAGGGATCTTCAGCAACGTCGCCGCCGCCTCAGCGCCCTGGTCTTGCTCCTGTGTCTTCTCCGCCGCCGGCGGGGTATCCACTTCTTCCATCGGCTCATCTTCCCCTAAGGGTACCGATGTGGCTGTGGAGGGTCCAGCCATGTCCTCCCGGACTGTTACACCTCCTGGCCCATCCCGGGCTTGTTCAGTTCCTTGCCCATCCCGGGCTGTTTCGATCGCCTGCCCATCCCGGGCTTGTCCTTCCCCCTGCCCATCCCGGCTTGTTCCTCCGATTCCTCAGCCTCCATGGAGGAGGCCGGGGAAGGGCTCCGGCGTCTCGTACTCTCGCGCGCTCCCAGGTGGAAGCGTGGCCGCCACCCTCAGGCGGCTCCGAAACCAAATGTTACGAATAGGATGTGGGTGTGGGGTTCCTGCCCTCTTTGAGCCACGGACCCGCCTCGCCGGGCACCTAGGTCCTTACAGGGCACCTAGGCGGGACCACCCCTCCTACTCCCGTATCCTAATATGGATAAAGGTTACAGTGGGTGAGGAATAGTACGTGCCTTGGGCAGGGCGTCCCCCACACCAAGGGCCATTAGTAGGACGTCTCCCACATCAGGCTGGTGCGCGTAACAAGCTGGGTATGCTGTGGATGCGACAAGGAGTGAGTGGCAATTCCGAAGGTCTTTGATACTGCAAAACACTTTCCAGATGCCACAGCCAAGCATGGTATATATGTATATTGTGGCGCCATTGTGACGGGTGGCGATGAACGCCGGTGTTGCCATTTGGTTGGCATCACCAGATATGGGGTGGCAGTGTGCTGTCGGAACATGCCGGACACAGTCTAAACTCAAAAGATTATTGCGATGTGGTTACTTGGGGTTAGGCAGTTATTGGCATTTTCCGAAGTGAAAATTATGTAATTGGGGAAACCGCCCTTTTTTAGTGTTATTTAGAGCTTCCTAGTTCCAACGCGCTTTTAAACACCCGATTCCATTAAGAAACGGCAAAGATATGGCCTCCTGAAGTCGTAATACTTATGGGCAGGGGGTCAGGTGTTAGATGCTTGGAATTAGAGGACAATGGGTCTATCGTAGGTGAACGGTGGATGGTGGCGATGTGCCTGGACGTGCACTTGTGTTGTCTTGTCTTGATGTGACAGCGATGGACCCGCGATCAGGCACTGCGCATGCGATATGTGCGCACGCATGCTGTGAGTCCGTGTAACACTCTTGGCCCACTCTTTGGCCTCCCGCGAGCCAGCGAACCATGGCCCAACAGCTGGGCCCAGCTGCGCCACCACCTCTTGCTGACAGCAGGCCCCGGGGATCGATCCCAATCAAGCATTGGGCCCACCACGCGACCACAAGAACGTCTGCCCCAGATACGCCCACCGTCCAAGGTGGAGAGGGCCGGCTAACCTCCAACAGCTAAGCCGCAGGGCAGGGTGACCCCACGCCTCCAGAAACCAGCGGTTGCCGACGGGGCCACAACAATTGTATGATTGCAAGAGCAGCATCGTAGAAAGAAGTGAGGCAACGAAGTTGCAAATATAGGCCGCAACATCAATCCATCCGCCAAGTGATATGGATGTTGGTTGATTGAATCTGGGTGTCATTGAAGTTGTGTAAACAACTAGCCCCCTAGCACTCATGAGTGGTTTAACGATGTAAGTTGTCTAATGATGTATTTGCTACTATAGAGGTAGTGGGTGAGGATGTCAAGGGTGAGCCAAACACGGATGCTAAGTGATTGAGTTTGCATGTCATTGAGATTGTAATTGTAATATTTTGCTATATTTTAGACCTTTTTTAGGCCCAAAATAAAAATACGCAATAATACATATATATTACCGTATTACTATTTAAGTGTTATCCGTATTTCCCAAGCCTGCGTTGGTTTCTCCCGTCCACCTGTAACTAGAAGAGCTCGTCCTCAGCACTCATGCCGAGCTCCACACATCCCGACGTTGGAGTGACCTTCTAGATGCCCAACTCAGCAATCCGTCAATGAAGAGTCTCCTGATACATTGCTGTATTGACAGAGGTGTTCTTAGTTTAGGAATCCATCATTAGAAATATTCCAAGAGGGGGAATGTCGGAGGGATGCCACCCTTGGTCGGCACCTGGAGAGAACATTCGAGAATTAGAGCTAATTCACCACCAGCGCCCCACGTCCCAGACGATCAAATTTGATGGCAAGGGACCCACAAGGTAATTCCTTCAGTTGCTCACCATAAACCAAGCATCGCTTTGGTACTACTTTGTAGTAGTTGCTTGTGCGGTTATTTTTCCTCTTGCCAAGAAGAAAAATAACCGCACAAGCAACTACTACAAAGTACTAAGTGCCATGCCACTTTCTCCCAAAAGGATGTGGAACACATTCTTTTCCGCCAGTCGTGGCGCTGATATGGCAGTGACTGGCCCATGTTTGACATATGGCTGCATGACTATCAAGGGACATGCCTGTCCTCCATATCTCTGTTCTCCGGGCTGTGTCTCCGGTACACGTGTACCGTGGCCTCCCCTGCCTCCGACATAGTCCCACCCCGAACCCGATGTATCAGCGCGCAATCCCCTCAGCTCTGCATTATGGCCCCTTACTTCACGATGAAGATCGGCTCGAGGCCCGCTACCCAACACGCAATACACAACGTGCGTCCGACCTGCACAACGCTAACAGTCGCCTTGGACAGCGCGCACCACGCTGTGCGCGCCACCATCCTCATGGACGCCTCTCCTGCTGGACACTTGGTGACCGCCTCCGACGTTTCGCGGGCCACCTGTCGGCTGAGCCAAGCCTTACACCGGCTGCTCCTGTTCCTCCCGTGCTCCTTACGTTAACCACACGGGACACCGCCTGGGTACTAGTGCCCGCGCCGCCCCGCAGCCTTGACTTGGACCTGGGCGCGCCTTTTGCCAGTGGGCCCTTTCAGTCATGGCGATCGAGCTGCAGCCCGAGTATGGCTACGTGATCGCGTCCATCGCGGCGACCAACTTCGTCGTCCAGTACATGGCGGGGCAGGTGGGCGCCGCGCGCAAGCGCTACGGGGTGCCGTATCCCAAGATGTACATGGAGGGAGACTCGTACGACGCCAGGACCTTCAACTGCATCCAGAGGGTGCACCAGAACACGGCGGAGAGCGCGCCACTGGTGATGGTGACCAACGCCGTCCTGGGGGTCGTGCACCCAATCACCGCCTCCGTGCTGATGGCCGCGTATTTGGGTAAGGCCCCAGTGGGTTGCCATTGCGCTGGCTTGCCTTCACCATGTTTGCTGGGTTATGCAACGTTTGCATGCACGTGCAAGATCAGTGTGCGACACTGTTGTGCACCACCATTGCGCCAGCTTGCCTTCCCCAGTTTTGTGGGCATGCGCAAGATCAATGTGGATGGCCCTGTGGCGTGCCTGTGCTGCGTTTGACCTGTGTCTTCGAGTGTGTCCCACCGGGTGCTTCCAAAGCGCCAGGCCGTGGTATCAGTATCTGTGAACGTTTGTTGCCTGAGAGCTGTTTGAGAGCTGGCTTGTTTGCTTGACGCCGTCTGAGGCGCGCACGTTCTGTCCGCCAGTGGGCAGGCTCGTCTACTCGAAGGGATACAGCACTGGGAGGCCGAAGAACAGGATGCCGGGAGTCCTCATATCGTGGACAGCATGGCTTGCGTCCGCATGTGTTGCTGTCTATGCTGGCATCGCCCGCACGGGGATGCTCAGCAAGTGACGTGCCGTGATCGCGACCACAAAGGTGGCAAGCTGCATATGCAGATGGAAAACCTTTGACTGGGTGTGTTTTCTTGTGCCCAACTTCCTCGAACTGGGATGATTAGGAGGAGGATGAATGGCTTTGGCGGTTTTGGCTGTTCTCAAGGCAAAACAAACCTTCAAAAGCCAATGCAGGTGGGGCTGTGTCACAACTTGGCACTATCACCAGACTTGCCCACTGAGAACCCCAGGCTGTTAGCATCGCATGTTTAAAGACTGCCTGCCATGTGATGACATGCTTTTCAATGCACACAAAGATTGAAAGCACAGTACCATGTGGCGATCAGAAGCTACATCGCCAATCTTGGCATAGAGGCCTGAGCGATGCCAGAAATGATCACATTGGGGTTCCTTGAAAGCCACAAAGCATTCAACTTCCCAAGAATGAACGAAACAGCTCTAAAACACCTGCCTGAAGGCGCGCATTGTCAACCAGCGACCGCGGGCAGCTGCAATAAAAATAGCGTGGAGCTGTACATGTTCCCATCATGAATTGCCAGCAATTCCGATCCTGAACATTCCATCTGCCATCCCCACCCCTCCCATCCCCCTTTCGACAACATTCCATTGCTCCTACACTCTCATGCTCACGATGAATGGAAGTCGCTCAATCTGCACAAGCTGGAGTTGGGATGAAGAGGAATGCCTGCTGCATCAGACCTGCTAAAGATCCTGCTCTGTGAGAGATGTGCATTCAGATTGCGACGATATGGATGGGCACGTTTCAAGGGCCTTTTCCATAACAGCCTTGGCAGCAGGATCATCGTCAAAAGTACCTTCCACAATGGCTTCCTCGGTCTCGGAGCAGAAATCTGCAGCGCACAGTGCCACACGTTGTGTCAACATTGACTTGATCCCCAGAGCAAGCCAGGGACAGGTGGCTCAATTATGCCCAAATGTGCTGCATTTTTTCATCAACAAAAGAAGCAAATACGAATTGATTCTGCTTTCAGTGTTCCTGCATTCACATAAGTTGCAAGTGCTGCAAGCGTGCCCGCAACAAAGTGAATGACAACTTGGTGAAACAAACGACAGCCAGCTGACATTTCCACGTGGTCTACTATGCACGCCACCCAATGCTTAACACTCCAGTTCTGTCACAACTGGGCTCACTTCGTAGACATCCTGCATCTACCAGCTCAACTTTCTTGTTAAACAGTGAAGTGGCTATTTTTCTAGCACAAAAACTCTTTTCTGTGACAGTGGCCCCAACATTTTGTTTGCGACAGTGAAAGACACTTCGTTTGTGACAACGCAGTGTTGCAATAAAGAACACCACTGCCGCAAAACAGGGCAGTTTGGCATTTGTCTCTGTTGCAGACGAGAACACTCCACTGTTGCGATGAAGGATCATTATTTGTCCCGATAGTCACACTTGAGAGCCTCGTTTAGTCCATGGAAAACGTGTTGTAAGACACTATTTTGAACATTGTACCCTCAGCATCAAACGGATGCTAAGGAGGGGAGGGATCTAGGCCGAGTACGCTAAAAGATTATGTTATTGCACCAAAATCAAAATAAGGTGGGAAGGTGGACTGAGGCACAGGTGATCAGCGGCAGAGAGCTCATGAATTGTTCCAAAGCATACCTCAAGTTTTCAATCTTCGAGAAAGTCCTTAATGGATCCGTTTGCAGCCTTTGGGGCTGCCCCATCGCTTAGCGTGTCTCTTGGCATCTCAGTTTTCACCACAATCGCTAAACTTTGGTTGTTTTTTTCACCTATAAAAGTTCCTGAAGCTGTGTTGCGCTGTCAGTTAATGTTGCTGAGTCATCCTGCGTTGACATAAGGATTGACGCCAAAAGAGGGGGGAAAGGGGGAGTCTCAGCTTAGCATCCATTTGATGCTAAGTGTGCAAAATTCAAGTAGTGTCTTCCCTAATCAGTGCTGGGAGCTGTTACCAGCGGCCATCCATCAATGAGTCGAACTCCGTGAAGCGGGCGCGCGAAAGCTCACCTCCCGAATCGCCAGTGTTCACACGGCACCCGCTGGGGCAGTCTGGCGCATCTGCTTCACGGCAGCCGAGAAACGCCTTGAAATAATTGCAGAAAGGCGTGTCCTCCCTGATCCACGGTGAGAAATCCGTGAGCCCTGTGTAGACGCAGTTGCCATCATCGCCCAGGGAGCATTCGCCGTCGTCCTCGCAGTCGGCGGCGCTGGTCTCGCCGCACTCCGCAAAAATGGAGAGCCCAGCCGTGATCTCCGGGTTAAACAACGCCTGGCAGTGTGCACACGCAGGTGGTGAGTAAGAGTGAAGAAGTGCTGTGCGGAACATGGGGTGTGATTGGCACAGTGTCCAATGGGCAAAGGGCAGCAGTTTGTCATTTTGTGCCCATTGGTGCTACAGGATCTGCATGCAGCGAGAAAGTGAGCTCCAGGTGGTCGAAATCCCAGTTAATGGGATTAATACGACAGTGATGTGGAATTGCAAAAAGACAGCATTGTGCCACCTCAACTGGACTGCATGGACTACATATCAGTGAACAGAGTTCACGTGGATCTCTGCATCATGCACTGCAATGGGTAGGTGGGCCCGCCACTGAGAACAAGGCACGAACAACACTCACATCGGACAACACAAGAAAGAACCTTTTGATCGATCAATTGATTGATTTGGCATCTCTTTGGTCGACCACCTATATGTCCTGAAGAACTCTGACATTGTAAAGCCAATCCTGACACAGAATGTGCTATACTCTATCAGCTGGCTCACCTCTGACTGGGCATCCTCATCAGGTATACATACGTTTGAATCCCTGCAGGCAGCATTTTCGTCCGCATGTTAGTTGCTGAGGTTTCACGGGTGCAGCTTTGCAACATTCAAAATAGATGCAAAATCCAGAAGGCTTTGGTGGGACCGGGGGGTGCAAGTGCCAAGGCAATTTCACATTTGCACACCACCATGCATGGGCTAATGTAAAGATGAAAATGAGCACGTCACAAGAGACTGACTTCTTGGCCTCTAAGTGAGGGATTGTTGATTGTGGCAAATGTGGCAAGAGGAAATGCACCCAGGTATACTCCTTGGATGGGGCGAATTGAGACTGGTATATGATATGCCCACCATATGGCAGAAGGTAAACAGCCAGAACACGAAATCTGTCAAACTTCTGTTGTGGACGTCACAAAAGACATGCTTTTGGTGCCATTTAAGGCAGGACCAGGTGCATCTGCAACACCACCGATCGCTGTCGCCTCAGCCCAGAACTCACCACAAGCACCCTGGCAAGCTGACGCACTTCTCTTCAGTTCCAAACGATGCACAGCCGATACTCCTCAAAAATGCACTCCACACTGGGAGTGTGCAATCTTTCAGAGCCAGCAGGATGTCGGTTTGACAAGCACCCTCATCCACATCCCTGGAAACAGACAGCAGCAAATGGACATGACATGTGTAATCCATAAGCACAGAAGACCTTGTTGTGTAGCTATTCTCCACTGCCTCCACCGTCAGGCAACGAATCTCCAGCACTTCTTCTGGGAGAGTGGGCCCATGACAGCACGTGTTACTTTTCTGGTAAGTTGTTACAGCGGCATTTATTTCACTCCTGCACTGAGCAACACCTGTTTTGCTGTCACAATGTAATCCATGAATGTACCCTGGCACACAGCATTATGCACAGTCTGCCTCCCAGCAGGGCACTCTTTGAGTTGCAGCTCCTCACCAAGTGCACAATTCCTCAGCCTCACAAGCGGATTGACTGGTCGAGTCAAGGCAACCCTGCGCACACAACACAGAATCAACAGGTGCTGCAGCCACCCCTTCCTAGTGCGTCGTTTCTGCTTGTGAAGGCGTTCTGGGCCGTGGCACTATCTTCAAGTTGGCATTCGACGTGAGGCTGTCAGCAGCGCGCTGAGAAGCACAGTGTATGTCATGCAGGGGGTAACGACAACCATGCTGAAGCATTTGACTCCCCTGAATGGCAGCAGTATCAACAACAACAACATGTTCTCTGGAAAAACAAACAAGCCAGTGTGGTTTCCTTTGATTTCCGATCTGCCAGGTGTCAAACCCCACGACTTCTGAAAGTTTTTTTTGGAGACTGAGCATACAGTTGGATGCACACACCTTTGGGGGCTTGCATCGCCTTACACTTTCCTGCTAGGTGGCACAAGGCTGACGTATCTTGTGTTAGGACAGGGGTGGCTCCTGGGCACTGACTTGTGATGTAGTATTTTAGAAACAACAGTCAGAACAACAACAACAACCATAAAGGCTTGCTAAAGTACTCCATTACTGTGCACATTTACTGATAGTAGCTTGGCATTTGCTTCCTCACAGCACTTCACGCAACTGCACTGTGCTGCAAAATTGTTGTTCATGCTCAAATGGATCGGATCTGTTCCTGGAAAGGTAAATCTCCCTTCATGGGCTGGTCGAAATTTGGGGCTACAGCACAAAGTCAACTCAAATGCAGTGCCAGCAAACAGACACAGTGTCAAGTGAATTTCACTCTGCAACATTTGCACACTGCAACCAGAGTACAGGACATCTACTTAACAAACATCTGGCAACTGCTGAATCATACCCCACAAGCGCTGCACACCTGTCCTTGAATGTGGAGCAAAATGTGCACAAAGACACAAGGAAACAAAGCTGGAGCATTTCTGGGAACCCATGCCAGGAATATGCTGTTGCATGTTGACATCCAGACTATAACATGAACCCATTTTGACCACAAATGTTCAGCTTGACAAGGTAGATGTTGGGATGCCTTACAAGAAGTGTAAGCAGTGTTCGGATGATACTGGAGTCAGGGACGTTGATGAGGGCGTTGGCTCTGCACTCTCCTGCATCATCATCATATCTACAGGGATCTGAGCTGAGGGCGTCGTCCACAGTTGTGCCCGCCGGAAGCTCTACAGGAGGCTCCACGGGAGGCTCCGTGGGAGGCTCCACGGGAGGCTCTGTGGGAGGCTCCACGGGTGGCTCCGTGGGAGGCTCCACGGGTGGCTCCGTGGGAGGCTCCACGGGAGGCTCCTCGGGAGGCTCCGTGGGAGGCTCCACGGGAGGCTCCTCGGGAAGCTCCACGGGAGGCTCCTCTGGTTCAGTAGGGGTAGGGCTTGGAGGGGCCTCCGTTGTGGCTGGGGGTGTAACAGGGGTGACTGTCCCCGCCGTGACAACATCAGGTGATGAAAGAGGGCAGTCCGAGCAGACCTGCAGTACAGATGCAGTCATCAGTCTTTAGCCAAAACACAGACATCCAGCGTAAACAACATCAGCTGGGTGGAAGTCGCCAGCCAGTGATCAAGTCACTCTCCAGTGTGCCACTTCTTTCACAAGTTCAGCACCCACAGGAAGCACACTCAATGCCACTGTTGTCTGTGGCAGGACCTGCTGACAGTGGGCCCCGGCCTCGGCTGAGCTTGACTTTCCCCAACGGAGGCACCTTGACCACCTTAACGGCTGTGTAATTCTTGCCAACTCATTGACAGCAGATTTGATTGGGGCAACCTGTCTTCATCAGCTGCCAAACAGAGCTGCTCTTGTGTCACAACTACAAGGTGGCCAGCACAGATGGCAGGCCATTGCAGCACCACAAGGCCACATGGAAGAAGTAGTGGAAGGCACACACCGTGAGCATCTTCTCCGTTATCCAGGCGATATGGTTTGCAACTGAGGTATATACACCAGGCCGTTTTGCCTCTGCACACGTCACATCTGGCTCCCCAAAAGAGGCCAAACCAAAAAGCGTATCCAAAGAGGGCTGGCCACCAGTGTAATCCCCGTTCGGGGAGAAAAGCCGCAGCACCGGTCCGCCGCCATCACCTGGCCAGCAAACAACTTCTCTCAAGCACCTGTCGTCAAATGAGCATCTCGACTGCACCGGATGACATGAGCGCAGCACACACAAGAAACCGATGGTGTGAATGGACTCAGCGAAACAAGTGCAACAATCACAGCCAATGGCTGTAGCGCCTGAAAAAGAAAAGTCTGTGCTCGACTTTGAGTGTTTTCACTTTACCAAAATGGGAACTTGTCAAGTGCAGCATCCCTCCTGAGCAAGAATTTCTGCAAGACTTCTTTCATTACTGCATTTCGGCATGGGTATTGGGTTGTACTCCAGCCAGGGATTGTGAGGTTCTTGCAGACCACAGGAAACTAGTGTTGTCTGATGATCTGAGCTCAGCAGAGCCACATGTCGTTTCATGTCACTGTGAAGGATACATGCATTCACACGTTCAAATTCCATGCTGTACAGTATGATGCAGACATGTGCTGGTGCAATAGGAGCACAAGGCAGCAAACAATGGCAAGTCAGCGTTTGGTGCAAAAATGAATACCTGGGCATCCATCCGCATCGGAAATTCCTCCAGAGAAACACATCATCGTGTCCTTGATCCTGTCACCCCAGACATCATCTTCCGCACACTCCCCATTTGGAAGGAACTCGGTGTCCAGGGCAATCTGAAGGGTGTCCAAAGGTGTTCCATCGCTCTCCTGTGCCCAGCCCAAGGCGCCAAACACTTCCCCTTCTTTGGGGATCTCAGGCCTGTCAGGGAGAGAGTCCTCTGTGAGCACTTGTCAAGCTCACCATGAACAAAGCGGACTTGTGGAGGCCAGAAACGCACTCTCTTTCTCGTGCGGTGACAACTGTTGGGGCCATAGCAGCAGCAAGTCCAAGACAGCAAACTGGTTGCCTATTGGCTTTCAACACATTTTCCATTCCCTTGCGCATCCATCGACATCAGGCACACCTGACAGGCAAACCGATGGCTTCGTGCTTCGTGAGTTTTACTCCCATCCACAGCAGTGCAATGTCATTCCCATCGTCGAAATTTCCAGTCCAGCCCTCATGGACAAAAGTCCTTGCAGGCAAGAGAAGCTGCACACGCAAGTGTCAACTGTCAGCGCCATCAACCTCATTGTCACAGCTGCACTGGCAGCACAAATGCAAGCCATTACTCCTGCACTTCTCAACAATCTGACACGCCCTTCAAATTGCATTTCACTCGAACTGCGAGCTCTGGATACTGTCCAGACCAGATCAAAATCTATGAACTTCTATGATTCTGTACATCAGTTGAAATCTTTCCTGGCATGTTGCACAGCATGTTTTGCATCCACAGCCCTGTTGTTCGCATTGCACGTCAGCTTAACACAAGTACTGGAGCTGGTCTCAATTCCCTTGTCAGCCTCCCACAGCTGCAACAGCAGCACAACAGTACCCACCTCCTCAGTATCAGGGTCACAGGCCCCGATGACGACGATTGGCGAATGTCCAAGCTCATCCAAGCAGTGTGCAGAAGTGATCACAAAGGGTGGCTCCTTCTTCTTTGTTGACGCAACGGATTTTACAAGCACACCACTGCACTGGTGGACACTATTCGTATCCCGGATTGAGGCCATGTAAGGAAACCGCTCACATGGTGCAGCTTCGGGCCCCTTTTGCACAAACACAGACACCGATTGGGATCTGGCATACTTCCAGGTAATTCATTCCTGCTCTCAGCTACCCATGCTGAGCACCAGGGCACTCCATGCTGATAATAATACTCAAGGGAGCATGCTGCACGTTGACGCATTAGATAAGGGCCTTGTCGTCACTTTGCATGTGCACCGGTCTGCTTCGAAGCATTTTGGAGAAACGCAGGCACTGCACTGGACCTGAAACCAAAATGTTACAAAACAGGACGAGAACATGGAGCAAAGGCAGCAAGGTTGACGACCACCATTGCTCCTCCACAACATTTCACAACATCTGCCAGCGGACAAACCTGCAGCAACTTCCTCAGCTGCTGGACCTTCGAGATGTCCAATCTGGGCAGCTTCCATTCGTCTGCACAGGGCAGCAGATTCGCTCACACATCCGTCCGTGCCACAACCTCCCCCCCAAAAAAACTTGGCAGCAATGCAAGCCCTCACTGTTTCCTCTAGAGATTCTGCACATGCAGCAATTGGTTTTCGGAAGTGCAACTGGACATGGCTTTTCTGACAGACTCACCCACGGGAGCAGACATAACCAACGCCCCGACACAGATTCCAAGACTACATGACTTGCGGATGTCCTGCCGTTGGCGCAATACGACCTTGTTGACAAGGGCCAACAAGCGACAGTCGCAGCAAGGAGCCTGATGCGCTCCCTTCAAGGTGGCCCATGGCGTCTGGTTTGACTGCCGGGGCTGGCCTCAAGTAGTTTAGTTTGTTGGGAGGGTTTGGGCGCACTGAAGCTCCCAAAGTGCTGTGGGTTTGGTTCGCCCAGCAAACAGTTGCTCACCGGCCTCTTCAGATTCGCCGCGGGGGAGCGCGGATCAAGGACGGATGCGCCAGTGTAATGTACACTGGCGCTCTCCCAAACACCGAGATCCTCTCTCGGCGTCGTATGGCGTTTGCGCAAGGTTCCGCGACTTTGGTTGGAGGATAAACATGATCCACGCCAAGGCTGAAAAACGCTTTTATCCATCAAAAGGTGTCCATCGCAACGCATGACATCGCGCAAGCTCGATATCCACCCGGGGCAAGATACAAACGGCGGCGACGTTCCATTACTGTTGACCGGGTCGAGGCAGCTGGACCATCAGTGCCTCTTGCGCGGCTGAGGCGGGGCGACCTCAACCGCAGAACAATTCTCAGTTTGGACGGCGATCATCTGCGGTGCGGCTGACGACCCCAACGCAGACACGATCCGGAAAGCGTCTGCATCGCGATCAAACCCTAGGACGCGACAGGGACACCTCCCCGCGGCATGCTGCCCCCAAGGCGATAATTTTGAGCGCATCGCCGGATGAGGTGCGCGATCGCCAGCACACAAACGACTGACAGCTTCAGGCGGCCGCCCTGGAGGCGCCAGCGAGGCGCCGGGCCGTCGCACAGCACGCGGCGCTGGGGGGACGCTCGCCGGTTTGACCCTTTGACTTCCGGGACGCTGCCGCAACCCGATGGAACGGGAGGTCCATGCGGCCCACAGTGACAAATCAGTTTCCAGCCAATGGACCAGAAAAGTCACCGCGGCGCTGGCGGTGTTGGTTCTGATTCCAATGACCGGGCCCTTTGTGATCCGAGCCCGATGACGGTGAACTTCGTCTAATGGGTCGGTCGGGGGGTCGCACTTCGCGGCGTGTTCTCACCTCGCGTCCCCAACGCCCCTCTCCAGAGGCAGGCCGCCAGCAGCGAGCAGCAGATCGCCGCCAGCAGACGCGGTGCCCTCCCGTTCGCCATGGCTCCCTGCGCGTGAGACACACGTGCTCAACGGCAGCGGGGGATCGGCCGCTGAAGGCCGGCTAACGGGGAAGGAAGCCGCGATCAGGCACGGCCCAAAAGGTCGTATGCCAGGGGAGGATGGAAGGATGGAAGGATGACGGATGTGGCAACAGCGCGAGATGAGCGCACAGACATCTGGGAATGATGGGATCCGTCCAGGGGTCCAAAGGCCCCGTGCTGCCGCGCGGCCAGGCCAAGAGATCGACGGTGGGAGGGCCAGCGTGGGAATGCGCACTCCTGGGGCCAGCTTCCCTTCCGCACGTCGCCCGGCATGACCTCACCATGGGGCGGTAATCGAGGCCGATCGCGCGCGCCGCAGAAGCCCGGCGGCCAAAGCTTTGACTCCGGCTGTTGACCGCAGCGGGGGAGGCCACACAGGGATGCCAGCCGCGGCCGGGAAAAGCCTGCTGGTCGCGACTCGGTCGCCGGTTAAGTCGGCAGAGCGGGGGACCGAGAATGGAAGGAATCCAACAAATGAGGCAAGATGCTTAGGTCACCATCAATGCATGCATGTCAATGTACCAACGGCGCGCAGCGCGGCTGTCGAGGGTCGTTGACATTAGGCTTACGCATCTCACGACCAATCGCAGTGCGCACTGACGAAGGTAGGCAGCGTGGAGGGGTGGCAACCCCCGACTGGGGACCGCAGGCTCGAGTGCGCGGCGATGGTTTACAGCCGAGGAAAGGTACAACAGGAATTGGGTCCCTTATATCGGGTCCGTTCATCAGTGTCCTTGATTCATTTCGCAATGCATCATCAGCAGTTAATGCGTCCAGCAATTAACAATAGTCGATCAGATCTTACTGCGGCAGCACCAGCAACCCGCACGGCTCAATTCCCCGTCGAGCAAGGCGCCAACAGCAGCCAGTGCCATTGGGTAATGCTTCGGCCATCGGCGACAGAGGCGTGGCGGTGATCAACAGCAGTCTGCAGCGATCGGCGCCTTGTAGTTTCTTGCCCGCCGTCCGTCCCACTGGCAGCGGGGCATGAATAGGCAATCGGCGAATGGAACGGCAGAGGGGGTGCACTCAAGCAGAAGCGGCCGTGGGTAGAGGTGCGAGTCGACATGGATTGTTGTGGGCTCCAGCCTGGGCAATGTTCTGAGAGCAACGGACCTCTTGCGCAGCTAGTGGCTGTGGCCACTGCTCCTTTTTCAACCCAGGTGGGGCTGGCAGTTGCGTTTTGTGAGTGGGCGTGGCCAGGAATGCTGCTCAGCGGACCAGTACAACGGGGCAGGGAATCTTGCTATTTTGGGTGGGCACGGAGGGGGTCTGACAGCCATAATATGTGGTGGACGGCGCAAGGCCCAAGGCCGAATTTCGCGCTAGCTGTGCTGGAAGTCGAGGGATGGGGGTGGCGTCTCTCGAGAGCTAAGCGTACTAATTCAAAACAGTGTCCTCCCTAACTGCGAGTGAAGCGATCGACAAAGGTCATCTCCTGGTTATGGCAAGTTGGCAAGTGGTAAATTTTAACGGCTTTGCGAGATGTACATGTCGTGCATCGAGGCCGAACACGAACGTGCATTTGTACAAGCCCCCGGCATGGGCTTCACACGTGGACATTACACCACATGCAAGATGAACCAGGCAGCGCCAGGGTGGTCACCGGCACCAAGAGCATTATGGTACTGTCAAGAGTGCACGGAAGTAGAACGAGTTTCGATGCTGTTGTTTTTCCATCGTGTCTCTTGTTGCAGGGATTCATGAAATCGTATGCCGAACTTCTCCATGGATTGGTGAAACCGTATGCCGAATTTCATATCCAAAGCGACGCATCGTTTTCGTATTGAGGACGCCCAAAGAGAAGTGCAACGCAATACCCGCCCCAAACCGTGCTCGCACAGATATCGCCGAAATCAAGCAATGCCGTCTGTGACACCAAATATCGCCAAACTCTTCAAATCCTACAGGTCAGCGTACCTACGTTACAACGCACTGGTGCGATCTAAGAGATCGCACGCCAGCCTGCATCAGCAACAGCCCCAGAGGCACTACACATTAGGAAGAACGCAAAATCGGCTGCATGAGCACGCCTTTCCCAATTGTCTGAGCTCCACCTGCGCACCAACAGATTTCCATCCATTGCCTGCCTCGCTGCGGCGGATAACGGCAGGCTATGCATTCAACCCGCAGACCACGCGAGGCAGTCTTTGGGCGCGTCGTTGAACCCAGGTCCGCGCTCTGCTCGGGCCACAATTGCACGCCAGACATCAAAAAGGGCATCCGAAAAAGAAGGCAATAGGCTTTGGGCAACAAAAGAATGCTGCAAAGTTCGCTCGCTATCGACTGCTTAGGCTGCCATATTGGACTCTCAAAGAAAAATCCCCGTCGTTTCTATCCTACTGTTTCTACGCACCATTTCGCCGGCGCATGATATCGCGTCGGCCAGAATGACTTGGGATCACAAGCGAAAACTGCTGCAGTCAGATTCAGACTCTTGGAGAGGGCACTCTTGCAAGGCGGTCTTCATGACCGCAGCGAATTCGGCATCAAAGGCAGTCTCCGCAATTGCCTCCAGAGTGATGTCACAGACATCTGCACAAACACATTCTGGCATCATCTCCCAGCTACCTCACATTCGTTGAATGAACACGCTCAGTCCAGTGCGGACTGGCAAAATCTTGGTTCAGGTTACCAACTGGCAATGTTTGAACGAGCAAATGCGGCCAAGTGGGCTTCTAGACAGCCCAGTTAGGGACAGATTGATGCTACTGATGGACACTCCACGTTGCCCACAAAGTACACCGTAGGGGAGTGTTCTATGGGTGACTCTCATAAGAAGCAGTCATCCCTTCAAGATTTTGCATAAGTTGTAGATATAATCCGATGGATTCCCAGTCAATCCCTCAAAAATTGAAGAACGTCGCGCCTTCGCACACCGGCGGTTGCAATTCTCGCGAGCCCACCTTCATCCACTATGCAGCCGCTGGGACAGTCAGGCAGAACAGCATCGCTGCATTTGTACACAGCACCATAGAATAAGCAAAGGGCGCTGTCGGCTTCGGGGTCGAACCAGCCTGAGATTTTCCAGAATGCTGACGACCGGCACTCCCCGCCAATCAACAGGCATTTGCTGTCATCCAAGCACGCGTCCAGGCCAGTCGTGTTGCAAGTTGTTTGTTCGTTCAGAGCCGCAGCCACCTCTGGCGAATTCTGAAGCGCCTGCCGCAACAGAATGCTGCTCTGAAAAGGAAGCCCAGCCCGGCAGCATGGCGGTCATGAGCACCAAAGGAGTGGGTATTGGGTATGTTGCCAGAAGCAGCGCGAGGAGAGACCCGATTTTGAAAGAATTCGGTGAGAACCACCCAGAAAAACCCTTAATAATCGAGTAGATAGAGTCTCATCACCGCCACAACAGGAAGAAAAGCGGTGGCTGCAGGAGGCCTAGAAGAAAGTTCATCAGTGGCAGCCCGGCCCAGGCGCATATTCAGGGCAAACGCAGTTAGCAAAAGTATTCAAGTCTGCTGACTAGCCACAAAAACGACGAGCTTCTTACGCATACCACCAGTTGATAATCGCTCAAAGCAAATGCACGTGGCAGGCACAGACACATGCTATGTGATTTATCGCTATGGTTTATCGACCTGTCATTCCGATTTTGAAGCAGCATTTTGCAGGTCAATGTGCAGGGGAATGGACTATCATGTCCATTCTGGACAGAATTAATCTTCATCACCACCCTACCTCGGTAGCCACTCCAGAGGTCAAGTCAGACTCACAGGCTTCATTGTTCCTGCCCCAAAACCAGCATGTCACCCCTTAGGCAGTACACTTTCCATTGCCTCTGCAGCAACCTCAATTTCTTTCCACATTGTGCTGTTTGCTCACACTCAATTTCTGTAACATATGCCATGAAATACATTGTCATACATTCGTCAGCATGACTGTCTTGATGCTGCACGGCAGCTCCAAAGAAAACAAGCAAACAAGTTTGTTCATGAAGTTTTTAACACACAAAGTTCGATCTCCGGTGGCTGGGCTGCACAGTCTTCGTATGGCTGCGTTTTGAAGGACAGCACACATGGCTTGGATGTTCCAAGTTGGAACCCAAGCCCTACAAACGGGCCCCATTGGGCTGACCATGAAACCAAGTGCCCAACACGGCGACTAACTGAATATTGTAGCAGTTGGACAGTTGGTGCGTGAACACCCATATGTCTGTGTTCTTGGATTTGATGGCCACGATTCTGTGGCATACGACTACATTGGCTTATCCACCCTGTATCCATTCCCGAGAAGGGGACTTCAAAGTATCAGAGCTGACTTTCGTATGCAGCGAAACATAACGCCACAGGAACACTCACCACAAACAACCAGGCAAGATGGTGCACTTCTCCTCGCTGGCTTTCGTGTCACAGCTTGCAAATCTCTTCACTGTTAACCACTCAGGGATCAAGCAGTCCTTCAAAGCCAGCTCAACATCCCCCACACAGGAGCTGGCAATCCTATCCCTGCAAAGGTACACAAAGACTTGAATACCACCAACAGCACTTGTATAGAACAATCAATGCACTTGATCCAAAACACAACTGGCAATTAGGTTGGAATCCTTTGTCTGACAGCACATGTGTCAAGCACCAGAAGACGTACTCCAGGCAAGACCACAGAGTCCACAACACTTGCTGCCTTGGGTGTCGTTCAGTCTGCTGAGACAGGGGCGTTGCCAAACTCCTTTGGTTTGTCAAATGGACGAACAGATGGGACCTTGGGTTGTGAATGTGCAACATCGTGACAAGTTTCGGACAATCTCATTGCCCTCAATAGGAACGCTTGCCAAGACATCTGTGGGAAAGCGCGATTGAACACATCCAACTTCCAGCAGCGCAACAGACACACAGCCCTGCAAAATCAGAAAGCAGGGCACGCAGTGACAAACAGGATCACTGAACTAATGGAAATTAGCCAAATTGCACCCCTGAGTTCTCGGACTGACAGAGGAGGATGAGAATGCCAGAAACCTGGCACACCACTTACCAACTGCAGAAGTCGTTCGAATCGCATCGCTCTTGTGATGTCGTCTCCGCACATCTCTGCACGACAGCAGTACATTGATATGGGTGCAGCGACTGCCACCTATTTGCAGTCGTTGACATTGTAAATTTCCACTTATCCCAACAAGGCATTTTCTGAGGGCAACGTGTCTTCCAACACGTTCATCGACAAAAAAGATATGACTATTGCCTTCCCGCTTGCAGTGCTGCTCAACATTTAATACAGCATCTTTTATGCCAGGGACTGGCAGAATTTGAATGAATTATCAATCGTTGATGGATATAGCAAGACAGATTGACCTGGATGAACATCTTCCTCTGTGGCAGCGTTCGCCTTTCCATGCAGGTAAAGATTTCCGCTCCATATATTACACTTCTACCTACTGTGGCAACTATGTGGGCTGAAAAAGGTGGCACTAGAATTAGGATAATACCTGACAACATTGCAACAGAACTGGTCTCCCAGTGCTTCACAGTTGTGCAGCACACACAACATTGAGATTGCATAAATATCAAAGCAAGGAACAGCGGAAACAAGTATGGCAACCACATACGCTTGCGCAATGAGGACAAGAGGGAGCCTCCCAATCCAGAACCATTACTGGGATGCAATATTGAGGCAAGCCACTGTAATGCCACTCCACAACTTGTCACTTTTGCCCACACTCTGGATGTGCAGTGACCATTCTTGTGGATTCGTGTGTTCTTAAAGCTATTGTCAATATCGGTGTTGCCATTTCGATGACAAAGGCTCACCGTTGCTGCAAGAGGCTCCAGCAGCTTGACATCTTGTATGTTTTCAACCACAGCAGCACTGCATTCGTCGTCTCTGAACTTGCAGATCTCAGCATCGGGGAACTTAAGCATGCCATCGCTGGTGCTTGTGGGGGGTGGGGAGGTGACAGGGGGGCGATCTGTGTCAGTGGAGGGGGATATCTCAGGTAAGGGAGCTGGGGAGGATGTGCCACGAGGACCACCAGAAGGGCATGTGCGGAGGGCATCGCCAGTCGGCACAGCAGGGCAGTTGTTGCCAACACAGTTCTGAGAGCACAGCACAAAGTTCAATGATTAGTGCAATTTTGCAATAATGGTCCAGAGCCATTGATGACAACTGGATGGCAGTTGGCGACTGCATGAGGAGGAGAAAACGTTCGTCGATTTGATGACAATCATGGTGGCGGGAATGCATGATAACGACACAAAGGTACCCACAGCAACTAGACATTGAAAGTGCAGGCACTCCTGAATGGGCTCACCTTGGCTATTTGGAAGTCAATCCAGTCAATGTAATGGCTAACTGCAGTGTACACCCCAGGAAGCTCTGTGGCCCCGCACGTGCCCCTCTCACCAAATGAAGTTATTCCGAAAAGCACATCAAGATCTGGTCTTCCCAGGTCTACATCGCCGCCTGGTGCAAATGCTCGCACCATAGGCCCTCCGCTGTCTCCTGCAAAGCAACACAGAAACCACCCTGCCATCAATCTGTGCCGACCATTCTGCCCACAGTGGGAGGCATTGTGGCCTGTCAGTTCAGGCATGCTTCTGTTTGTGGCAAGCAAGGGAGCCAACCCGCAGGTCAAGTTTTCCAGCTTCATTCTGCTTGGACAGTCTTTCCTATGTTGCAACCTAAACTTGCACTGGACCTATATACATTGCGTTCAAGAGCCACTGATGCCTGTGAGCTCTACAAAATTCCGTTGTTCCTGACCAACATAGGTGTGCAACGTCAATGAAAAGAATACTAAATTGCCCAAACGCACCAGGGCAGGTCTCGACTCCAGGCTTGCCTCCTACTGCACACAACATTGAATCTTGGTACGTGCTCCCCCAAAGATCTTCAGCAGCACAATCTTCACCAGTTAGGAACTTGAATCTTTCAGCAACCTGCAGGGCGTCCGATGTGGTATCATTCTCAGTGCCTCCCCATCCCAATGTTACGAAGAGGGCAGTTCCCGTGGCCTCACATCTTCCAGGCAAGCCAATGGCAAATTTTGCGAATTTAGATTTCTTCTCCAGCCTCAGCAATGCGATGTCATAGCCATCTTCCACCGCTCCCGTCCACTTCTCGTGCACGATGGCCGCTGTGGGCAGCAATTTCTGAGAACAAAAGTAACACAGAAAGCATGAGAATATGCAGTGGGGAGATACTCAGTTGCCATCTCAACCAACGTTACCCAAAACACCTGGAGTTCTGGAATACTGCATTCCTGCTTCTTAGACCGTCGCCCCAGTGCCACAAGAACATGAGCACTGTTGGTTTTTAAGCCCTTCCACAAAGCAACGTAATGCTTGGCTTTTTTTGCAAAGAAAACAATTAATGAATAACGTTCTTTGAATATAATTGGTGTGGAGCCACGTTGAAACAATAAAAATACCAATCTGAAAAACAAATGCGGAGCAAAAAGCGTAACAGCACAACATTTTTTCACGCGGAAGGGTTGAACATACAACAGTACCACAGATCATGGAGGATACTGCAGGGTTCGTTGAATATTACAGGTGCGCTAAGATAGCGCCACCAGCATTATCAAACATCTTCAGTGTTGCCAATGCAGGGTACTGCCCAAGTAGGAGTAGTTGCAGCAAAAGCTCTTCAACAGGCTGGGTGCTTTGTCTGCAGACGCAGCACAAATCCTGAAACAATCCGTCGCACAAATCCCGGAATCCCTGTTAACCAAACATTGCTGTGTGCGCGCCATGCTATAATGATTGTGTGATCCTGGCAAGTATCCAGAGACTGCTGATTTCAAAGACGACCAGATAAGTGTACGACGAAACGGACAATGAAACACAAGATTTGCAACCTCCAACATTGCCCTTTTGGTGTAGAAGAGAGCCTCTTACTCGGAAATTGCCATTTTGAAGTGGAAAGGAGCCTCAGTAAGTGGACAAACTCGAAAATCCCATTTTGTGCCCCATTCTGCTATCCTTTGACACCCATTGCCATTTCCACCATTAACAAAAGGGAGCCGCAAGCCAATGCCTGAACAAATTAGGTCAGTGACAACTAACCTCAACACCCTCCACATCATTGAGGTTGCAAGCCCCGATGACAACAACAGGTGTTGATCCCAGGCCATCTAGGCAGTGGGCAGCAGTCAGCACCCAAGAGGGGCCCTTCCTTTGGGATGCTGGGGGCTTCACCAGCACACCGCCACATCTGTGGTCGTTTACGTCGTCACGTAAAGACACCATGTAGGCATACCGCTTGCATGGCGCATCCCGTCCACCCTTGCACACCACACAACAAACAGTACAAGGAATGAGGGATGGGAGTCGGATGCAAACTATTTACAAGTATTCCCAAGCATTGTTGCACAGTGCTACCCGCCACTCAGCTGTTAAAGAAGGGCAACAACATGGCTAGCGGGGAACCTGCCAAACATAATGAGAGTAGGCAGTCAACTTGGATTGTAGGACAGATTCTGAGGCGCACCGCTCTGTTTTCGCTGAACCGCAGCGCAGAGTTAGGAAAACCTTGTTGGAGGCACTGGCCAGGCTTGGATGGCTGTTCAACTCTTGCATTTCCAACTCTGCATCCAAGCATGGAACAGGTGAGGTAGTGGACTCCGTACCGCGATCAATCCAGCAGCAATTTGCTGCAGTTTGCGTAAATCCATTGTCTGCAGTTGTTGGGCACTCCCTTCTTCAGAAAAGCCTGCACAGCATGCAAACACTATTGCATAAGACAACACCAACACACTTGTTGCACAACAGTTTTGATACCACGGAAGGGGCCGACTTCCTGCCAGCTCAAGGTGTTGCCAGTAACCATCATCCAGTACAGCACATGCATTTCCATTTTCCAGACTCGTTGTCATTAAACCCTTCCTCAACTTGACGATAAGAATCCTCTGGACACCTGTCCAGCCGTAGTGAAATGTGTCTCGACACCTTTAAATGTTCATGTCGACTTGCTGTCTGCATTAATGCCCTCGGATAGCGTTCATGCACAGCCCATTGCCGAAACAGCAAGATGGCCGAAAGTGTAAATAAAACACCAAAAACAATCATTGGAGCTGATCCTTTTTTTTGGTTGATGTCCAAACGAATTGACAGCTCTGACATCCCACTACACTTTCGACTTGCTGTCACCTCACAGGAGCCCGAACGCGTTTCAGACGTTGTTCCCTTCGGCAACAGTCGAGCACACTCCATCCCTGAGGTGAGGTGCGAGGCAAATCGACGCATGTCAATTTGGGGGACTTGGGGAGCACATGCGCAATCCGAGCCCTTGAAGTTGAATCGCAAAATCTACGTGCATCTAATCGACGATTAGTGCGACATTTACACTGTCCTAAATGTGGTCTTGGGGGCGCGCTGCAATTCCAACTTTTTGCCACCAGGTTGTGCGACCGGTTTCCTGTGGTCATCGTCCGACAGCATCATTCCGGCTGTTCAACGGCATAATCAAATATCCTGGCATTGTCACGACATGCATCGTTGTGCTCCGCACAAACCCACCAGGCTCCCCCCCAGACGCCACCGCCGCCATGGTCACCACCACGGCACAGACGGCGGCCCCGAGTACCGCGCCTCTTGCCACGCTCGGGCTGCCCTGCGCACGAACCCGAGGTTGAGACATTCACAGCGGCGCCAAACTCAGCACTCGCAGAACTGACATCGTTCGGCGCCAGCGCCAGCAGGTTGCCGGGTCCCAGGGGTGTGCCCCCATCGAAATAGCGCATCGCCACGCGCCTGGATCATTCGCACACACAGTCATCGCCAAACGGTCGTGTATTGACGTGCCCCAACTCAGGCACACCCATTTCTGCTGCCACCTCACAGGGGAGCCGGGAGAACCTGGGATGGGGGTCATTGATCGAACTTAGACCATGACTTGAGGTCCTGAGAATAGCGCGGGGCTGACAACACGGGTAGCGCACCCTCGGGCACCCGGCCAAGCGCCAAGGCCGGCGGGTTTGGCCAATTGCCATGTGTCACCGCCGGGTTCGATGCCCCCTGCCGTGCCGCAGGGGCGGCTGCCCCGATCGCTGGGACCCGCGGCAGCGACCCCGCGGCACCGCCCGAACCGCTCACACCCCTGCCCCGTGAGCCGCGCCGAGGCGGCGAAGGTCGTTGTGGCAGGTGTGCTATGGTTTGAGAGGCCTGAGGTGACGGGACCGCGCAGCAGGCGAGGAGCGAGGGATGAAAATTCGGGGCAGAGGGGGGGGTGGATGTGGGCGGGCGTAAGATTGGGAAGGCTCCCGGAAATCGTCCGGAATCGGAGGGCTCACCTCAGCAGCCGGGTCACACTTGCGGGGGACACCTCTGGGGAGACCGGACAAGACCTGTGAGGGGTGGCTGCAAGTTTCGCAGAATGTTCTATGCCCGCGAACCTACATTGTGCTTTCGCCATTTGGAGTTCCGTTCGTTCTGCCAACCCCAGGGCGGGGCGAGAGGAGAAGGCCTCGCAGGTGATGCACTTGCGGCAACACCTGCCAGTACGTTTGCCCAGGGCTTTGCTTCATTGAAACGGGCACAATGCCGCGAGGCTGCCAGCTTCGGCACTTCGGAATAAAGCACTTCGAAGCGCTGCGATGAATCATGCCACACGCATATCTATCAAATTCATGAACTGGTAACAATTTGACCAAGGGGGGGCTCAAGGAAAAGCTGCAGAGCCACAGAAGATGCCAACAGCCAAGCGCGGGCTCGCTCCACGCTGCAGTCCCTGCTGGGTAGATGCGCCACGCGTGTGAGGCGCTCTTGCTGGCTTTGCACATGGGATTATTTAGGCGTAGCTTGCATCCTATCCTATTCTTGCACCCTATATATATATAGAAACTGTGTTTGCTCTCGTCGGGAAGAGATATAGACTCGTTGGTAGGCGCTTGCCACTGCGGCCCACACAACCTCGAGGACGTTGTCAAATTTCAGCCATAAACAGTGTAGCATTGACGCCAAACTGCCATGACAGCCACCAAGCGCAATGCTTGCTGGCATGTTCCTGGCATATGACCGTAAGAGATTCTGTGCCGAGCAAAAATATCCTTTTGGATTCAGGTCGATCATCAGGCAGACCAGGACTTGCTAAAATCACCAATGCATCTCGCCACTGCATAACGAGTATATATGACCTGCACGAACAGCGTCTGGACGCAAGAAAATTCCTTACCAAAATTTCCTCTTTGCGCCCAAGCGCACTTGAATCAAACAACAGCCCTCTCGGGTTTCTGGTGTCAACACGAGTCAGAACTCTGTCCCTTCACGCCTTTTGTGCAGGTCGATGAACTCCAGTGGAAAGCAGGAATGATGCAATGTCCAAAAACTGAATGCTAGAGCCAGGCACATTCGCATGTGGAAGGAATTCCTTCTACCAGGTCCTCGGTAAGCGTTTCATTTCGCAGTATTTTTAAAATATGAGAGAGGGCAAGCACATCCAAGATGTGATCCCAACTTCATGTTGGGATGAACAATGCTCCAGGCTATGCAATATCCGTGACAGGCCTATCGTATCCAGGATGGATGCTGTCCATGTCCTGTACACGTAGTACATTCTCTGGCACGCCTTTTGCGCAACCAGATATATGCAAATCCCTGTCGCTTGCAACAATTGTCCGGCAGTGATTGTGGCCATCACACAGTCACCAAATTCGACATTGTAAATCGCTGGAGAATCTCAATGTTGCGAGGTTCTCCTAAATTGAGCATGTCAGAATCTCCTTGGTCCCCAAAAGCTATATAGCAATATTTGTGCACTTCGCCTTGGCGGATGTGTAATGCACACAAACCACATAAGTTGAATATATTGAATATATTCAACTTATGTGGTTTGTGTGCATTAAATATCTGCCAAGGCGAAGTGCACAAATATTGCAAAATCTCGATGCGACTGGCAGCACTGCCTTTTGCCACTCAAAAATTTGTAGTAGATTCCTCATATCCCTTCCTAAAACACTCGTTCAGAACGCCACACGCTAAAGTTGTGATCCCCAATGTGGTAATTTACGCTTCCAAAGAATGGACTCCAGGCAGGAAGTTATGCATGAAACTCGAGGCAATCAGACTGCGTGGCGAAGGCAGGGCACGCCCGAAGTGCAACTTCCATTGCGGCTCTGAGACTAGCATCGTCTGCGAAAGGTTTCTACGCAATGCCATTTATTGAATGGTATCGATTGATACTTGGCAGGTATCCCAATATCACAGCACGAGAGCAAAATCAGGGATTGAATCCGTCCATCTTTCCACAGAAGCCAACACAGCAACAACACAAGAATCAATCCCATGGATGTTCCACCGACAAATCGATGCGAGGACCGTGACGCACATTCTTCATCCACTACAGTAAGGCAGCAGCAGGCGGGGCAGAGAGGAGGAAAGCTGTCTTCGCGGGCACACTGTCAGGCCGTCACATAAAAATTGCAGTGTGCGGAGAGCTTGCAGTCCCCTTCACAGCCTGGCCTTCCTGGCACGAACCACTCAGAAGCTTTGTAGAACGCATGGGAATGGCATTCGCCCATAATCTCCTGGCATTCACCATCCGGGGTGCAGGATGCCAAATTTGCACCGTTGCACCCGCTCTCTGAGATTCAAGCATCTAGTAACTCTGGTGAGGAGCGCTCGACAGCCTGTGATTCCAGAAAACACAGGGTATAATAATTCAATCGCAGTGGATTCAATGGAAAAAAACAGGGCAGGTAAAGTTATTCCAAGGCATGCACAAGGCGATGGAGAAAACTCCGCATATTGTTCCCATGCAATGTTCTGATCCACGTGCGTATTTCAAACTGCTCAAAAGTCAAGACATGATGCGATTGCATCCTCATCATTCAAATCATCAGTGCGTCTTCCTCTTGATACCGTCAAAAAATACAGCGCTACACAGCAGAACGCAAGGCATCGGTGAACATGCAATTTCTGTTTACACCGGCCGGCACTCGCTACCAAGAATTTGACGTAAAAATGAAAAAAATATGTGAAATGCTTTTGCGCTGCTGGCGTCACTCACCAACTGCACCCTTCCGGCGCAGGGCATTTTTCCGTCAATTCCTTACTGCCGCAGGTAGCAAATTTCTTCAAGGCAACCCATTCTGGCAAGAGGCAGTCCTTGATCCACAACTCCGTGTACTTCTCGCAATCTTGTTTCCGTGCATCCGTAGCCATATACGACACACACTTGCTGCAATTATAGCAAAGGAATAATTTGAATTCACAAGCCACGTGTGCACACAGCACTTGCGACGGAAATAAGACACTTGTTGCTGACTAGCGTGCCTGTAACACCTGCTTTCATTCGAAGCAGTTCTGGGCCATTCATTCCCACCGTTTGTAAGCAACAGAACTTGTTTCTTGGAAGTTGATCAATAGAAGTGAACTGCCTTAATTGCTGATTCCAATGATTGCTTGAGGGACCATTCGAGCTGTGCATAGCATGCACGCCCTCGTTATTTATAACGCGAGTGACATCAATGGTGGCCAGATCCCCGATGCAGGCCTCCAATTGCGTATGCTATCTCCATATTGCGGTTCCTCCATCGCGGAACCGCACTGTCCCCAAAATGCCTCCAAACCTCTTATATGTCCCTTGTATCCCAAGCCAACCTAATATGTACTATATTGCAGAATTGTCAAAGCACAACTCATACGATATTGGTAGGATGTCAAAGTCAGCAAATACACGTTTGAACCCCATTTTTCACCATATGTTATGGGACATTTTGAACGGAAGGGAGTTATCAACTGATATTCCTGTCTCAGATATTGCACTCCCTTGTAAGCAGTACACCGCTGGCCAGCGCGATAGACTAGTGAAGGCATTTCAACAGCCGCGGAAACGAGTCTCTTCGCATGTTGCCTTTTACAGTGTGTTCCCAAGTCTGACATCTAATATAAGCCATCATTTTCAGCATGTTTTCTAGTAAACAATGCATCCATACTGCTTTCCCAGGTCCAGCATACAGACAAGCATAATGACGACTTTTCCTTTTCTGACCTTGGAAAATTATCCAGCTGAGATGCTGGGCTGTTAACACATCGAAAAATTTTCTACTTCATGTATCACTAATAAAAAATTGGAGAATAGCCACCACATCAAGTGAAGCAATAACCAGTGTACCATAAACTCATTGAGCTATGCATTGTTTCATCATGCCTGTAAATCAGTGCACTCAAGGCATTGATGCATGACACACTGTGACTCATATTTCTTCGTTCATGCACGAATAACTGCAATTCATTGATTACTTAAGACACAAGCAATTTGTGATGTTGGACACAAAGCATGTTGTGGCGAGTACCCCAGGATGCTTGTGTTTTAAGCAATAGATTTTCACAGAGGCGCACTGAAAGAAGCAGAGCAAGATTCGAGCTTGCATGGTAGTTCTTCGCATTTCATGTTTAACATTGAATTAGTCGACTCCAATTTCGTTGTACATTTTTAAAAATTGTACATTAACGACATCGCTTCGTGCAGGTCAACTCTCGCTACAATTGTACCGAGTGCTATTGCAATAGAACGCGGCTTAGTTGTTCTGCGTGGCATACTGCATTCCAAGATAACACTGGGCGCATTGTTTAAGTGCTCACAAACTTTTAGCATTCCCAAAACCCTACAGCAATCGGTCAGTACCATACATTCCAACCAAGTTTTTATTCTCAACCTGGCAATTTTTTCAAGACAGGGAGACGACCAGCCATCCCAAAGAATTTTTTGCAAACGGATGGCCCCAAAATTTCCCCCAACAGTTCCTGTGGATTCCTACCAGCACATTAAGAGGCTCCTGAATGCCCGCTACAGGTATGTAGCGAACAGCATCCACAATGGCATCCCACATTTTCAAGAAAGGCGCAGATCTGCAGAGTAGTAAATATAGCGCCAATTGAGGGGGCGGATGTCGTTATTGGCGGGGAATTGGTGAGGTCTGGAGGTGGCTCTGGCGAGTTTTTTCGGCGGCTGCGGGTGAATCTGCAAGTGATAGTTGGACTTGCGCAGCATGAGATGCAGAAGATACGGTAGGACAGGGGCCCGTGTTGCAATGCTGCAAAGCAGATGCAATGGCAACGTCAAGGGAATGGGGACAATGATGAGTAGATCGCTTGTAAGACCTACATGTTTTAGGCATTCCCTGCAACAGGGTGTTTCTTGTCTCTAACCACAGTAGTATCATCTGGACCAACGTTTTTACAGCAATTCGCTGGCACACATGGTATGCCAGGAAGGAAAAACATGCACAAGCATTCGCAGTTCAATACCATGTGTCACAGATTTGCAAGGCACCAGATGCTCTGAAATTCCCAATGAGGCCCTGGCATGTACTGCACCTGCCTCCCTGGGACATCCACAGGATATGATTCAATTAGAGCCATCGCCGCATAACCAGAAATTGGATTGCAGCATGCAAGCTTCCGAACACCAAATAATCCTGCAGAATGTTCATGATCCAGCTGAAAGCTCCAAATGAAAAGCCTTGTGAAGACGTTTGGCCTCGTTGAAGCGCCGCGCCCAGTGTTTTCACCAAATGACGTTATGCTAACGGCGATGTCCGAACCGGGGTTTCAGAATTTGGGAAAATGTGCAGCCATGTACATGAGGTAACACCACATACTCCATTTCGGGGTGAATTGCTGTGGCAGCACCGCGTCGAAGTTGCAAACAGACAGATCGCATCGAGCAAATAGACTGACAACAGAGCAATGCCATTTTTAAATAAGGCTAATGCATTGCAGCAGAGTAGCAGATGGGGCAAAAGATGGCAACGCGATTACATTGTTGGCACAGATTTGTGGGCACCAGCATTGTCAAGATGCCAATTACAACATGCATGCAGGGCTAAAGTCCCCCTTTCCTCACACAATTCGGGAGCTATGGGGGGAGCCCTGGGACAGCACAGGCAGTTTTCACCGTTCGTCGCAGCAAGTGTCAAAAACTAGTGTCCAATGACCTTATCAAAGTGTCCAATCTTCAAGGCCAACCCAGCCACCAAAAAACCCAGTATAAGAGAAGGTCGCAGAAACCAGCATTATGTTGCAATTTCAAAAAGAAATTTCACCACTCTCTATCAGGTCGAACAAATTTCAAGACTCATACCAGATGTTCAGGACACTTTGAGCCAACAACATCGAACAGCAAATCCAGAGTTATCATTTTTTATACACCACCTCGTAGGCGTTTTAGACCTTGCTCATAACCAAGACCTACCTGCGAATGCTTGCACACCGCTGAAGCTGTATCCACACAGCACGGAATCTTTGATTATCCCCTCCCAGCTGCCTTTCGACCTCCCATTACATAATCCCTTCTGAGGAACTCGATAGGCTGGGCGTTTAATGAGTGTCTGCTGGTGGGCAAGGCAGTAGGGGCATTATTTGATGGCAGGCTCAATTTCCGCAGGGTAATGGGATTCCCTCGATGAACGTCGCCGTTCTTTACGCTGTTGGGAATGACATCTTCCGGTACAACTCTCTGCGCAATTGCACACGCGGTGTGTGAATGGCAAGACCTGGTATTCTGTGTGTTTCTGGCCTTGTCTCCAAAGATAGCAGGCCCGACGCCTTGCTGTCGTCGACCGTCGTGTCGACAGAGAAGCGACACCACCATGGACCTATCGGATCGCATGGCGATCGGCAGCATCGTGCTGCGGAAGGCAATATGTGTCGCACCCTGCCCTGATGTCCTTCCTGACCTCGCAGCTCGTCAGGGTCGTGCTGGGGACGTCGTGTCCGTCTCTAGACAGCCCCTGATCGGGCCAGCCACCGGAGAAGCGAACAGAGGATTGAATGTGCCGACCAGATGATCCAGAGTTGCTGCCATGTCGGTCAAGCACCTTTATCAGATGCCCATCTATACAAACGGCAAGTGCGAGGGCAGGCCGGGGGCTCCGAAATTGGCCATGCTTGGAGGCAGCCAGGTTGCGATATCTTGGCAGCTCTGGACTTTCTTGCGAACGCCATCGCGTTTTAATTTTGCTCTCCTACAATGCAGTAGGGTCCGATGTAATACGGTATGGTGTCCAAGAAATTTGAGAATTTGAATTGTGCGTAATCATCGCTGGAACCCTTGCCAATTCAGCCACCAGACTTCACCATCCCCTCAAGACAACCTTCCCACGATCCCACCAGCGTAAGCGTCCCTTCCGGTGTGTTAGGGAGGATGCGTCCCTCATTCACTGCCAAAGATGAATCCACGCTGCTGCCCATATGCACCTCTGCAGTGCTTTGTCTGTCATAGAACTACCATGTCGACTTCTAGGCACCATTCAAGGACGCCTCTGACATGGACAATCCCTTCGACAGTAGGTATTTCTGCAAGTTCACAAGGGTTCTCGCAATGCGCGTGCGTGATGGACTCAAGCCCAAGAAAAACGACACGACACGGGCCACAGCATTTCGCCCACCACTCCAGCAATCCAGAGTATGTCCATTTCCAATTTCTGAAGCGTTAATCACATACCCATGGCCTCGCTATCCCAGGGCTTTTCCATTGAATGATGTGCACCGGGAAGACAGCACCGCCGCGGCAGTTCATGCACGAAACGCGACGCATTCGGATTCCGTCGCAAAGTCAGGGCATTCTGCGAGTGCCGTTTCCATTGCGGTCTGCAGATCGGCATCCTCCACGAAGGTGCCCTCCACGATGGCGGCTTGCGTCACATCACATACATCTGCATCCGCATGTGTGCAGTGTGTTGCCACCGGCAACGAGTCAGTGCAACCGCGCCACAACGGCCAACACGTGCACATGCATGGATACCTTGCTGGCGACATCTTGGGCCGACCAGCGGCGTCCGCAAACAAACTCGGCGGATTCGAACAAGAGCGTGTGCTGGAGACCATTGCTCGACACCGCCAGTTCGGTGCAAGGGCGTTGCTTTGGCGTCGCTTTGCGACAAATGTAATTGCAACGAGGATGTAGGTGTATGGATACTTTTTGCACATGCTGAGGACCACTTCCCACTGGGCCGAGCGATGCGCAACGAGAATCGGATGGGGAACCGGCCTTTAGCAAGCAATGCAACGACGAGGTTGCCATGTATATAAAGCGAAAGGCGGCACTCCCCCCCGTGAATCTATGGGCTGCAGCTGCGGGTGAGTGAGGCGCCCCAGCTTTACGAATGGGGACACCAGGGCATTGAGCGTTTCATTGATGTATCAGTGCACAGAATCGCTACCCACCTTGTCCATCCAGAGTATCAAGAAAGCAACCGTTGGGGCAATCAGGCGCCACCGCTTCCTTGCAGGTGTACACCGCACTGTAAAAGTTGCAGGAGGGGGTTGCCACATTGGGGTCGAACCAACCAGCAAGTTTGGAGAATTCGGGGGAACGACATTCGCCATCAATCTGCCTGCAGTCACTGTTATCCTCGCAGGTAGCGAAATCTGTGGCATTGCACATTGTCTCCACCATCAGTGCATCCGTCACCTCTTTCGGTGCGGTTGCAAGAGCCTGCAACGCAAGCAGCCATATCCTGGGTCAGGAAAAGTCCCACAGAATGTGCATTCCAAAATATCCGGCAACTGTCCACATTCACACACGAGTTGCGCAATGTTGTGTGCCTTGGGTTGCAACAACATATGAGAATCATGAGATTCCTGCCATCATAGGTCCAAATCTTACATTATCTTAAGGACCATAAAACTCAAAAATCCCAAACCATTAGTATCGGACCACAGGGCCTATCGTGCCGTTTGCTTGAGATCTAACACATCCAATGTCTTGGCAGGGGCCAGGACAGCCTATCGCGTGCTTGGAAACAGGAGTCTACTAATACAGAGTCACAGTCATGATGCCAATAGCAAAACTGACGGAGGACAAAAGATCGTGCCCCACCCAAAGTACATGTTGGTTGCAAACCTGCATACGATTGGTATGAAGCAAACCGCTGTTTTCTCTGAGTGAACCACCTATTTAAACAACACATGCATGTCATGTACAGAAGCGGGATCCAGAGTTAATTCACATGCACCGTGAGCATTGTGCAGTCACAATGACACAATTCACTGACTCCATCTGGCACCACCAAGATATAGAATTAGATTCCTTCATCAGCATCGTACCGCAGAGGCGACTGTGACATCAGAGTCGCAAACTCGAGAAGTAGAGTTCCTGCAACAAACACAAAACTGTAAGTACACTCGCGGTGGGCGCTGAAAATTGACACAAGCACCATACACATGTGGATGCGAGTTGCACTACGGTATCCAACAAGCATACAATCAACAGCTGATTGCGCAATCCGATTCACAACGGAAACTCCCATTGCTTATCAAACCCGCCACCGTTATTCAGAAACAGGCATTTTTCACACAAATGCATGGACGCCGCATGGCTCGCTGAAAAGCATTGCTCCTGTTGGCATTCGCAAAACGGCTGCTACGTCACAGCTTTTGCATTCGACGGCATTTGACAGTCTTCTTCTGCCCATATAATGCATACATCATTTTTTTATACTTTGAACAATGGATATTGGCGTCGATGCATGCGCCATAATTGCAAATCAAATACCGTTTAGTGACCTTTCGTCAACAACACTGATTTGCTAGACCGCAATGAGCTAGTTGAAGTATATTCCAGGCCTTTCCTGTGCTGTGACTGTTCTTGGATGAGGAATCATCTTCCAAAACTATAGACCCTGTGTGCTAATTGGTAGGTTCCCTAAAGACAACAAGCTCGGGAAAATGCTCAACAAGCCGAGTCATATAATACGCTGCCACGCCCCTGAGATTGTCACGACAGGAGAATAACTGCACATAGCATCTATGGAGCATTGGCATTTACGCCTGTTTGCGCCAATGCATTGCATCGACAGTACAGCTGTTTTACAGAACCAATGTGCTTTGAATGCATTTGCCTTTCGGGAACCAAATTTATCGCGCATTGTGCAGCTGATGAGGCCGAATGCAACGTCCGACGAACGTTGCATCTCGATCGTCCTAATGCAGGAAAAACTGCATACAGCAGCATGTTTGGCATTGCGAGCTGCCAATAATCTCCTCTTTGTTTGGCTTGCGCTTGGCGAAAGGAATACATTGCCTCTTGCGTCCACGCTCACCAAAAACACCCCTCCAACACAGTGCACTTCTCTTCTGATCCTCTCTTTGCACAGAAGGCAAACCTCTTCAGCACAAGCCACTCTGGCAAAAGGCAGTCTTGTAAGACCACCTCTACATCGCTCTTGCATGCTTGCACTGAGACATCCCTGTAGATGAATCAATAAACAAATAAGATTGACGCAAAGGTAGCTTGCATGTTTCATCACTAAATGTCCATCCTCGCGCACTTAGCAACGTTGAACATTGAATTTTCTTCGAGTCTGAGAAACGCTCCCCAGCCAGAAGAGAGTTTGAGGCGTTGTTATTGCTGCCATTGTCATATTATCCCATGTGGTGTCATGTCTTTCTGATAGTATACAATCGGTTTGGCTAGGGTACAGATTTCTCATTGCCCTTCAGTGCGCAGGCAGTGAAGTCGCAGGCAATGCAATTGGACTAGGGTGGCAGAAAGGGTCCGCTGCACACGTCACTATCAAGGAGGTTTGCGAATAAAGTTAGGGGAGGCAAAAAGGATACTGTTGAAAGGTGAAACCATTGCGCAAACCGGCCTAATTGGCCTGTAGGCACGTCGGAACGGATCAATATTGTTTAGATGAAGCCCCTGTGCAAAAGGTGAGGTTCAAGGTCATCGACAAGGACCAAGTCTACTTCAACGTGCTGTGCAAACATCCAAAAGCCACACTGGTCTGCAAGAGTGTGGCAACCCCTCGCTCGCTGCAATGTACACACTCTGCCACTGAACGCGTAGGTGCCAGTACATAGGCTATGTTGGGTCCATGCGTTGGCGGCAGAATGGACTTAAGCAGAGCACAAAACATCGCAGTTCTGCAGACATTGATGAGCCTGAGAATTCCAGCAGTTCCTTACCAGTAACAGTAGGGCTCCTCGTCGCACGTTGTATTCGAAGTCTTGTCAGGACAGGCCTGCACAATCAACCACAATGCCAGAATCGGATCGCCAATCAAGGGTCCTCTGCGCGTAGGCTTGTCTATTTAATTCCACTGTGTTATGAAAGCTATAGTCGGGCAAGGTATTACACTGTCATTTCAACACTCTTCATGCTTTGAATGCCAACACGTTGCTTTTGTATGCGTCACCCACATGAGCCAAGTGCAGTTTGCTTATTCATACCAATCGCGTTATCGCATGAGTTGAAATACGATCCTGTAGACGTCATGAATGCCGTGGGAAGGAAGCAATTCTGAAGCCAATTGCGTAATGCTACAAAAATCAACACACGTTCTTTCTATGTGTGCATATCATACTCTCCTAATAGCACAATTTTCAACGATCAAATGTATACAGACGGCATTGCTGGGTTCTGTGCAGCAAGCAATTGTGCTGGCTACGTGTTGGCCAATACGATGTTTCACACAACTTTCCTTGCTTGTGGACCTGTCGAGGGTAACAGTGGCGCCTGAAATGTAAAAGTTTCATGGAATTCGCCAATTAATAAGCCATCTGCCTACAGTCTGGATTATGTTCACAAATGGCACATAACAGTATTCGAGGCCCTTTCATTTGCGGCTAAATATACAAACTGCAACAGGGTCACTGGGTGCTCATTGCTAAATGGAACAAAAAGAAGAGATTCCTTACCTGCTGGAGGAACGTCCATGAGATCTGACTAATGCGCACTGAACGGTTCAATGGCTCATGCAAATGGGAGCAAGTCAATACGATTCGAGGAATCAAGAAAGCTCTCAGTGGTCAGCGGATGGCAGATTGATGCTACATGTGCATGCACAAGCACTTGAAGATGAACACAGAAAGCGAGTGCTCAGGTTGCATGAAAGTGCCTGCAACTACGAATTCAATCCAGTGTTATCGACTCGGCTATTTCTCTGCAGCCACATTCCCATCAGTGCCGTCTTACAGAAAGTGCCGGCTTGCCACGATTCGTTGGCTCCGCCGTTCATTGGCCTCGATGCTCAAGTCAACATGAAGGCCACGTACTCTACCATTAGAGCCATTACCATGATTTAACCACGACAAATGAGCAGTCCCACATTGAACAAAATATAATGTATGGTGCAAAGCAAAGTACAATTGTGGGCTCAGCATACGATGAGAAAGTGCGCCCAGAAATTGACATATGTTTTCCAAAGGAACTCACTGCTGCTAACAGGGGCATCAGGTCCACTGCTTCAGGCAGGTTCGAAATGGCATCCACACTGCATCCATTGCTTTCTTCGAAGCTGCAGATCTGTAGATCAGGAAATAAGACTTCGGATGGAGCTGCGCCTGGCACTGCCTCGGGGGCCTCCTCTGGGGGCTCCACCGGGTCCTCCTCTGGGGGCTCCACCGGGTCCTCCTCTGGGGGCTCCACCGGGTCCTCCTCTGGGGGCTCCACCGGGTCCTCCTCTGGGGGCTCCACCGGGTCCTCCTCTGGGGGCTCCACCGGGTCCTCCTCTGGGGGCTCCACCGGGTCCTCCTCTGGGGGCTCCACCGGGTCCTCCTCTGGGGCCTCCACCGGGTCCTCCTGTGGGGGCTCCACTGGGTCCTCCTCTGGTGATGTGGGCGAAGGGCAGCCCAAGCTGCAGCGCTGCAAACCAAAGGGTCAGAGGCCACACAGCTGGCAGCGAATCTCCTCAAGCTACACAGAACAGGAATAATACAGAAAAGAACCAGGAACACAATACTCACAAGAAGATTGCTTGTCCCCGCACAAGTATTAGTAGCCCGTTGATATACAGTGCGCACATCCAAGGCAGTGTGGCCAGCATCATTGTCTGTGCAACATGTGCTCAATTCCCTGCACCTGCAGTCTGAATGATGTGTGTTGACAGTGCCTTGCTCCATGAACGAAAGAGATGTGCAGATTGTCCCAGCACCATGAGCTGAAAGTGCATGCACGTCTGAGTCTGCGTACAGACACACTTGTTCCAAACATTTGTGTAACAGAAAGGTAGTCATCGCACTCATGCCCTATCTCGTTGTTTCCCCAAACTGACAAATGTAATGAATGCATCTATCCCAGAAGAAAGGATTGGAATGGCCAAGACAAGTATCATCGATAGCCTGATGCAACTCACAATACGAATATTCTCATTGATCCAGTCCACAAAACTCCCAACTGCAGTGTAGACTCCAGGCCGTTCCTTATCCCCACAATTTGGACCCTGTTCCCCAAATGAAGTCAGCCCAACCAGCACATCCAGCTTTGCATCTCCATCAGCAAGAACCCCTCCAGGTGCAAATGCCCGAATGATTGGTCCCCCTGCATCACCTGGTTTGACACAAAATCCACACAGACGTCAAACATGCAGCCACCCACTGCATATATTACCTTGAGCCTTGAAAGGAAGTTATGCTTGTGTTCAGGTGCTCTTCCTGTCAGTCAACAGTATCTTTCTTGGCAATTCCCACTCACCCGGGCAGGTCTCTTGGCCTTTGATGCCCCCTGAAAAGCACATCATATTGTCTTGGATGCTGCTGCCCCAAACAGCTTCTGCTGAGCAATCTGTGTTTGTGACGAACTTGAGCTCCTCGGCCACTTGCAACAAATTAGAAGTGCCACCATCCTCCGTTTGTGCCCAACCCAATGCAACATGGAGTTCCCCATTCTTGGGTTCCTCGAATCTGGGTGCGAGCATTATTTTGGGGGCCTTGGACTTCCCATTAAGCTGCAGTAGTGCAATGTCATTCCCATCATGGCAACATCCCCGGTCTGCAAAACAGCTTCTCATGAGCAAACTCTGTATTTGTGGCAAAACTTGAGCTCCTCGGCCACTTGCAACAAATTAGAAGTGCCACCATCCTCCGTTTGTGCCCAACCCAATGCAACATGGAGTTCCCCATTCTTGGGTTCCTCGAATCTGGGTGCGAGCATTATTTTGGGGGCCTTGGACTTCCCATTAAGCTGCAGTAGTGCAATGTCATTCCCATTGGCAACATCCCCGGTCCAACCCTCATGAACAACTGTATTCGATGGCAAAAAAGTCTGGACACACAGCATCAGCACCACATTCAATTTAGCTCCACCTGGACCCCAGTCACTGCTATAACATCAGCTGTCTTGTGAAGCTTCGCACCAAATACAAGCAAAGAAGTAAACCAACAGAGAAGTGAGTCAGCAGATTAAAGGTTGTTCACCCAGTCCCTGTGCAGACAAACCACACAATTCCAGAGAGCCGAGGCAAGGATGAGGACACAGAAGGCGAGGATAGAACGAATTCTTGACCTGTAAAGAAAGGACACTGTGTTACAAGGTTGTGACCCCAGCTGACCCTCAGAAAGTGCACTGCCAGGGGTGCCAACATGGCATACACTACTGCGTGATGGTAACAATACCTTATTGTCTGCACTAAATGAAATGCGTGAAATAAATCATGGACTCCCAACTGTGAAGACACACATGTGCAGTTGTACAGTAACTGTGCACTTCTTCAGCTATCGCAGCAGAATGAGGGGAGGCCTGCACCCGCAGCAGCAGAGAGGCATGATACAGGAGGCAAGAGCTACCCAATAAAGAAATCACCTCAACACTTTCTGTATCATCAAGGGCACAGCCACCAGTGTAAATGATTGGCGAAGATCCCAGAAGGTCGATGCAGTGTGCGGGTGTCAACAACCAGGATGGGTCCCTCTTTGATGCAGTTGGAGAGTTCACCAATATGGCACCACACTGGTGCTGGTCGTTTGTGTCCCGCAATGACGCCATGTAAGGGAAGCGCTTGCAGTCAGCATCTGCACTATTCTGGGGCACCACCACAGAAATGTATTGGGTCAATGGCCCAATCCTTGCATTGTCATCTTTCCTACACAGTCTACAATTCACTGAATTGGGGTCAGCATCCACCCTGAAACCATGCCCACTGATGTGCTGGAGGACCACCAAACAAAGATCAATTCTTACAGCTTATGCCACACAAAAACTGCGAGTTCACAAGGCACATTGCCTTTGCCATTGCAGTCCTGCATTATGTCATCTCATATAGTCAACATCCAAGTGGCATTTTTTCATCTTGTCACTTGTGTCCTCCCAGTTTGAAGATTTCTTCTCCCAAAACAAGCAAAATGCCCTGGTGTCTTCCCTCCAGGTGCCAAAGGACTTTTATGCATGCTCAACAGCAAGAACAAAGTTCAAACATAGCATGGTGTCCTAGTGCTGATGTCCAAAGAAAAGATTGTGCAAAACAGCTGCCAGCTTGTATGGTGCGGTGGTGCCTTACTTACACTGCAATGTAGGTAGATGGTACTGCACACTGTACATTGTATACATTTCATTCAGCAATTTGTGCATCCACCACCTGTTGCAATTTCCTAAGCTCCAGTTCCTTCAGGCCCATCGAATGCCCTGGCATCGTAGTCACTGCAAAACAGACCCAGGATTCTAGCCCATTAGATTGAAAGATTCTTACAAAACAAATGCCTTGACACGTGTAACAGAATTGTGAATAGAATGCTTACAAAAAGAATGCATCCTGACGCAACTGAACGTTTCTGGACACGTGTTTGCCGTCGCCAGCAAGCCAAGAGCAATGTCAAGTTGATCAGGTGGCTGTGCATTCTTTGAAGGTGATTCAGAGCATCAGGCCAAAGTCTCAGAATAACTGCTGTGGTCGGAAAAGGAGTATTGGGAAATGCGCCAGCATGTAAAGAAATTCTGCACATGGGATTGAAAGTGAGCTATTGAGTTTCTTTTTAGGGAGACATGTTTGGGCACTTGCGATGAGCACAGACATCTTGCGGGTTGGCACCACCCCACCTTCATTTCTGGCGGCTGGACTGTGAGGCATTTTGGCTCTTCGTTCACAGCCTATAACTGAGTTTTTGCACATGGATCAGTGAACTTAGGTACACTCGCACGGAGAGTCAAGTCATGGTTTCGCGGTCAAGGACCAGTCTCCCTATTGGAGAGAAGGCCAGCGACTGCTATTTATCTTGTTTTGCTCCCTGCTACCCGTCCCCAAGAGTGTAAATTCCCATCTGGATGAAGCGAAATATTGGCGTTTGGCACTTTGGTACAAGTTGCGATTTCCCGAGGAAACAAACTAAAACATGATGGTCAGTGTTTGAAACAGTGATCGTGATGAACACCAAGCTGGACAGTATGGACTTAACTTGGCCAGTGTGTGAGTCAGGCTGGAAGAGCATCCTGTGTGGCAGAAATCTTTCTATAATCAGCAGCTTCCGCTGGTACCACACGACTTTCCTGTCAGGATCGTTTAACACAACACCGGTGTACATTTTGGCAAGCTAGGTGCACATTAGCATGAACAGCTAGGCAAAAGCTTGGCAGTACTTTAGACAGCTTTTGAAAAATTAAAAGCGTCTTGAACGTTATGTGTCAAGTACTTGCCGCCGTTATCCGATTCCTCTTGCGCTCTGATGCACTTGCAAACGATTGGCCAAAACAAAGCGCTGTGTTCTGAAACGAAAGCAAATACAGAAAAGACGCTGTGCCGAAAAACTATGCTTGCCTTCGCAAACTAGCCATTCCCTGAACCGAATCATACGGACTAACACTGTTTGCCTATCAGGACCAAAACTGCTTAAAAACAGTGCTTCACCGCATGACGGCTCATTGCCTCGTTTGCGAGGCAAATCCCGCTGGCGTGATTCCTAAAATCGCACGTCTAAATAATTGCAAGAAAAGGACGGAATGTCACCGGAATCCCTGGTGAACCCTGGAAGATGCCAATTCCGGTCAGCGAACGCGCCCGCCGTGCTCGCCCTCGTGTTGCAAATGCTGGCCGGCAGCACATGGGAAGGGGCCATCAACATTGCGCCCGATTGCGCCGGGTGGCCACGTACCCCCCGACCCTGATTCAGAACTCTCACCTTCCGTCCCCGCAACTGCCGCCAGCAAGACGGCGTGAACCACCGCCACCACCCCCGGCCTCCTGCTGGCCATGGTCCCCGTCCCTGCGGCGCCGCCCCTGTCTCAGACACGGCCCCAGGAATACCGTCCCGGCAGGCGGTCGCGATGACGAGAGCCCACTCGCACAAATTGATAAGCAAGAGCGCACGCCTCTTCCACCCCGGATCATGGCAGATTTACGAGCAACAGAGATTCCGCATTGCTTCGTGCGGGACAGGCGCCCCGTCCCCAGATGCTTTGGGCCCTCGATCCCTGGGGAGGGGCCACGCCAACCGCCGAAAGGCCAGCCTGGTACCCCGTGCCTGTGCGGAGGAATTGATGGAGATCGCCGTCCGGGGTGGCGCTGAGCGTGGGCGGCAGTCGAGCCGCGGGGTATTCGAGCGGCCGGCCGTGGGTCGGGCGAGGCGGAAGCCGGGTCGGCAGGCTTGGAGCCCGCCCTGCGAACCCCAACCCGAAACTTAACGGAGCTGGTGTCCCGGTCAACACCGGTGAGAATTGCATCATTTCCGCGCCATTTCAACATGTGATTTACGGAAAACTTTGCTCCACTGGGGGGGAATAATCCGGATGCAGCGGCGTCGACCGGCGGGTGCTGCGCGCCCGTGGCGGCGGCGCAGGCCGTGGCGAACCTCGTTCTGGCTGTTACCCAGTCGAGGCCCTGGACGGAGTGCCGACAACGGACCAAGGAGAGCCCCGGCGCTGGGAAACCCCAGGGAACGCCACCTTGCTATGAAGGCCGCCTAGTTTTCGTGTTGATTCAACGATGCATCACTCGGCGTGGAATAGTCAACGCTGCAGTGTTTGCTTGCTGTCCGTTTGGTGCCTCTTTCGCTCCGTGTATGCCCGTGGGCCTGTCGATTGCTGCCCAGCTCCTGTCTTACATTTGCCTGCCCTCTGCTTGCACCTTCTTGCGCCCGAAAACGAGCCCATCAGAGGGCACCCAAATCCCGTCGACGGCTGGCGCTATTGCTCGTGACCTTCAGAATGATGCCGAATGATGGCAAATGCAGAATGGCCCAGGGAGTCCATCGGCCCACATATACATGGTATAGGCGCGGGCAGAGAAGGCAAGCAGAGTAACCGATCGAAAGTGCATCAAAATTGAATTGAAATTGATCGAGAACGAAGAAGGATGTCCATGTTCAATCTTAGGTGAACTGCCTCACTGATCCACTTCCAAGATGCAAGGACCCAGGGCACATATTATTCGGATAGAGTCAACAGTACTGGAGGAACCCCAGTCCCTTCACAGTTCCAATATTCCCAAGGAAGTAGAAATGGGGCACGTGTTTTGGTTGCCTGTTCTAAGTTACACAGTACATGACTTTTTTTACTGAAATAGTTTGCATGATTGTGAGTGCAACAAAACAAATGTGCATGAATGAACAGTGCACGGCGGAGGTTTGTGGGAGATGCAAGAACGCTTGCCGATGTGACCTGAGATTCTGCCAGCCAGGGTTCCAAGGGTATGTTGCCCAGGTCAACAGCTTGGGCAGTGCCCATTCTTGTTCATCCATGGTGGAAGTTGCCTTCTCACCCTCTGACTGGATTTGCTCATTCTTGGTTGTTGAATTGGGCAAATACTAGTTGAAGGTCTGGATGGATCAACACAGTGTAGTCGTTGGGTTGAAACAACTATGAGTCCAACATGAGTCCAATGGTACATACTACTGGAGTCCAGCGATGCTCCACTCAGGAGGCAAGAGAGTTGCCAGTTCGTTCTGTTTAGTCAAATCCAGTCCCGTTCAGCTTGCTCTGCAGAGCACTGCTGGCCCTCTTACACATCATCAGGTCAGAGTGCTGTGGACAACAGTCAATATCCAACTGCACGCTTTCAGGAATTTCAGTCACTGGTGGGAAGCAGGGTCACTCGACCTGCAACTCCCCATGGTGAACAAAGTGCCACTTGCTTGGAAGGCACCTTCATGCTGGGGGTACAATTTCAACCACGACCTTGCATCGGTTGCATTGAAGTGTGAGATGTTTTGTACCTTTTGCTGCAACGCTCAAGATCTATTTTGTTCAATCGTCACTAAGCCACCTCTGGACCACCACTGCATGGCTTGTTTACCACAGCAACCAGGCCTGATCCTTGCCACACCCGCAGTATGCGTCCACGTCATGCGAGTTTCTTGACATGAATCACATGGACAGGCCTTGTGGTTGATTTGGTTGATCTCGGCAGTACATCATGGCCTCTTTCACTGTGGTGCACACCATCCCTGCACATATTTACGTTTGCAGGCTGTGTTTTACAGCGAAGACTGTGCGAAATTTGGCAGTATTCCTACTCCCAACGGCATGTTGCTTCCAGTTTGCAATTCGACACTGACTACCGACCTCTGCTACCCTGTCACGGAAGAGGGCGTAGCAACACTCACCCGGCAAATTTTGGAGCAGCAGAGCGTTATGGATGTCAGCGTGCTCGGCAAACTACAATAATTCAACGTTCCTGCTTGAATAACGCCGCCGCCGATTCTGTTTCAATCTGTGCATCATCACCCAAGCCCCCCAACAATGCAGCCGCGATGAAGTGCGCCCAAGCCCCAGCGGCCATGTCGCGGCGGTGGGCTTTTGGGAACTGGTTCAGTCGCTTCCTTGCGGGCCGCTTCGCACCAAACTCTCGGTGTGAACCTACGCCGAATTGTGAGCCAACCAGCAGTTGCAACCACCAAGCCCTCCACCGTTTAGTCACCATTGCGGTGCGGACGTTCGCTGCGGGCTCACGAGAGCCTTGGAGGCCGCCTTGTCATTCCGCCCCAACCAAGCGGCTCGCGCGTTCGTCCTCTGGCGCGCCCCTGCGGCGGCCAGCCCTCCCCTTGCGCGGCCGCTCCCCGAGAAGCACCCCAGGAGGCGGCCCTGGCGAGCTGCTGGGCGTGGTGCTGTGGAAACGCCGAGGACAGCGTACTTCGGGGCAACTTCAAGGTTCGTGGGTGCCCCGGATGGCCTGGGGACGCCTCTGCCGCGCTGTGGCGTGCCAGCACGCTCTTGCCTGCCCAGTCTCTGGCCCCGCGTTTGTGGAGCTTGTGAACCGATGGCGATCGCCCCAGCCTGCTCCCGGACCCTCTGCACCGTCGCGCAGTTTGCGTGATCATGCAGCTGCGCACGCGCTCGACGACACGGTGGACCGTTGTTCTCGGTGGATGAAACAGCAAGAGGCTGCTTGGATTAGAACTGGCGTGCCTCGAACCCTCCTGCTCTTCGCTCTCGTTGTGGGCTTTCGCTCCTTGTTCGCTGTCGTTCACCCCGTGAACGAGTCGTACGCTGCTGCCACCATCTGGCCGCATCAATCCGTAGGAGCCCCGTCTATCCATTGGGGAAGAGCGCTTGGAGACACCGGAAGCCAGCAGCAGAACGTGTTGCGTGTGCGGCGGAAGCCCGGGCCGGGTGGCTTTTTCATTTGCATGCCGCTCCCCAACGCGAGCAGCATCCTACGTTTGTTTTTGCGTGCTGCCGGACGGCATTGGTGACACTCGGACTCCAGAAATCCGTGCGCTGGTTCCGCGCGGACAGGGAGGCTATAGCCTCAGCTCTGTCAGTTGGCGAAAGTTTGGGTGGGCCACGTGTCGGGATTGTGCACACAAAGTACTGCGAAAGCGAAGGTGGAGGTGGCGTTGATGTCCGTGGTCTGGATGGCAGTTGGCACAGCGGGTGTGCATGGTACAGCCCCGGGAGGGGCTCTGGGTGCCCTTGCAGGTTGCCTAGCACGTTGTTTAAGCAGATTGCGGACAATGTCCCCGCTGATTCCCCGGCAGTTGTAAGTTCGCAGATATGTCAGCGCTGACGGTCAACGGCAAGTTTTGCTTTAGTATCTGCCGCAGATTGGAAGTGGCTCGTACACACAACGTGAATTTAGGCAGAACACGAGCACATCCTTCCAGGAGCTGTTCAGAATGTGTGCTCCTGATTTCAGAGCACCCGGTTGGTTGGCTTGAAGCTGTTGTGAAGCCGAGATGGAGTAGCGATTGGACCTCCTTCCTCACTGGGGCTCAAGCTGCTCACTGGCGAACAGCGCTTCAGGATTGAATGATGAAGACCTCCAAACTCCTGGCATTATCTATGCCTCACAATCAACAGATTGTTAGTCGCCATTGGTGCGACATGGAGCCTGCACTGTGCCTTACCGCATGTGTTCCATCTTGCCCAGTGACAGCTTCCAAGCGCATCGCCAACCGACGGTATATCCCACCAAGGAAAATTCGACGCCCTTTATGCAGTGCCATTGCCCTGCTTTGTCTTGGACAGCAATTTGAAGCCTACAAATAAAAATACACTCATGCTGCGTGGGTAATGAGCGCTGCAGTCTGTGAGCATAGCAAATTCATTCGCTATCCCAGACGAAAGCGGTGAACACATACGTATGGCAGAATTTTCTTACAATTCCAGGGACAGTCATGGTGCAGGAGATGGACATTCACGCTCAGGCCGCCTGTGTGATGCTATTTTGATTTGCATCGGGCAGGTCCTCCAGATGATGTTCAACCTTGGGATAGCCTGGGCGGTTGCCACCCTGGCGCTGGCAACTCCTGGTGGCGTGCTGGGTGATCAAATGTCAGTGTCCACCAACGGACTGATGGCTGAGGGGTCAATTGCATACAGGCAACACCAGGAGGCACTCCTTGGAGCCACACAGCAGAAGGTAGAGGATATTTTCCAAGCCATCAACATGTTTTGTGCAAAATTGCCGAAGCCTTGCCTGCCTTCAAGGCGATGAAGGACTTGGGAATTAGGTGAATGGTCTGAATGTCACTATTGAACAAGCTTGAACTTGGTTCTTGAAGCATGGTGAACTATCATGTGCAGGCTGGTTCTGCCTGAATTGACAGGGCAACCTGATTCTTTTGCCAGTTGAAGTCAGTAAGCGACAGCAATGTTTTGCATTTTCATCTGGGACCTGGAGCAGGCACGATGGTACAATACTGCCTGTGTTCTCCGTGGTGTTGGTTCTTCTACACCTGGAGCCCTGGTCACTTGCTCCCTGTTATCTTATCCGCCTGCCTACCTGTGCCCCAGGATGCTTTTTCAAGCTCTGC